CTTTCAATTAACAATACAATTGTTGGGTTCTGAGCAGACTACCAAATAAATCAACAAAACAAGGGTGTTTAGATGTTAGATTATAAGAGTAACTTATTCAAACGTATCAGATTCACAAACTACTGAGCAATTCCTAAAATCACATTGTGGGCTTTTATATAAAATTGGCTGAGAACACACAAAAAAAAAAAAAATCAATGCAAGGTTACATAGAGTAGTAAACAATGGAAGCTGACCATTAAGCAAGAAGTGGTCAAAATGTTTAGTGCTAGCATTTAAGTTGGAGGCTAGATTAATTGTACATAAATATATAAAATCATCCCAAAGATGTGAAAATATTTCAGGTTTATGGCAATCACCTGTAGCCATCAAGTGCTCTCCCCAAACAATGTCCGTCATGAAAATATTCCCAAATAGTTGAGCTCAGCTGTTGGCCTTGAGTTAGAGATGCTGCGCGGTGACTCTTCTCTGGTGCTTTCCGACCAGATTTCAGGTCATAGTTCGACAGATTCTTCTTCACAGTTAAAATTGGTTTGCTAACATAAAATTAGTTTGCTATGGTGCAGTTTGTGATGTGGGTCGAAAAAGATATACCATCATAACAAGATGTACAGTGTCTCATGAAATCAATACGACAAACAAGCCTGAGATCATATGATCACTGTTAATTTACAAATAATAATACATAACTTATATGAACAATTACAAATATCAGAATTCAGGTATAAAAATACTTCACATGAAAAATGTCTGTCGACATTTTCCAACACTATTGTGGTTTCATGCAAAGGCATTTTCAATCTAAGAGAAAAGGATGCATTTAATGTTAGGAAGAACTAATTTCTAACAAACAAAAGGCCAAATTAGCACTACTGACATGTAATTTGTAGTGTTGCATTCACATTGCACAGCACTTTGTATAATGTTTAATTACACGTAATAAACCAACCACAAAAACAATGAAGATTGTACTTTAGCACCATCAATCTTAGTCCTGAAATGCACCAAATATGGTTTTTCAAGGCCTTCCATGGTCCATTAAAGAGTGGGCATCCTGCTAGATGTGAAATTCACACCACCATGGCAAGGTTTTCAGTTAACCATAAAACAACATTAAAGCAATAAACACAATGGTAAACATCTCACATCTGTCAGCACCAATTATCACATGCCGGCATCCAGCAGAGCTGAACTAGCATAGGAGACCACACACTGGCCATTGCTAAGCCCTAACAATCCAACGGTAAACATGACAACATTTTTATTAATTAGCCTAGCCTGAGTGGTGCCATAAAATCAAGGAACTGTGTATTGGAGACTTACAGGGTAATACAAATACACAAATTTAACAAGCTGTGATAGGGATGAACATCCCAGAACATTTTGAGCAGCCTACTTGCATACCTCAAGAGGGTGAGCACACAAACCAACCATCTCATTATTTAGTCTATCACAGAAGTCCATCTAAAAACCATGTTTTAATCCCTGAAACTCATACACAGATGTCTAGCCAGTCAAAGGGGGAATTGGACTTGAAGTGCATGGTGTACAACAATTTTCTAGGTGCCAGAAGTTCAAAATAACTCATCAAAAAGAAAAAACATGGCCAACAGGCTATTGGCATTTTAAGAAAGACCATCCAAAGGGAATTTTCAAAATTAGAATATCCACACACAAACCTGCCTTTGCTCAAACTTTTGAAAAGTCAGAGGACCTCATATTAAAGAAGATAAAGTAAAGCCTTTGAAAGGAAGACAGCAATGCAAGTACTTTTGTGACAAAGCAGGCTGTGGGTGGGGATTCGCAGATAAACATCTGTCTTGAGGCAGATTGTGAGAGCTGAGAGTAAAAAAAAAAAAAAGCAAAGTCCAATCCCTGCAAAAATGCAGATGATAAAACAATTTTTTGACTTGTCTACCATACAGGATGTCGAACTAGGAGCATCTGGACAACTTTTGCCAACCTAAAATCCACTCTGATGACATTTAAGGGTGTTATAACTCCAAAGGATGTAACAGCAGAGCTTGCACAGCTAAAATCTCTGGTCTGAGACTGGCCTATCTCCATACATAATCAACAAGTACAAATTTCACAATACAACTTTTAGGTATGCATTTCTCAAAATCGATTACAGATATGATCTCCACTCCAACTCCGACCAACAACCAATGAGCTTGCTGAGAAACAAAAGACGAAGACCTCAGTGATCCCATTGGATTTTTAGATGCGATCTCACACCTGCCTGAACGTCTGTAAACCTGGGGGCTATATCCTGTGTAAATACATGCTTCCTGAGCCAAGATCATACCTTTCAGCACCTAACAATAGGTCTCCCCTTTTTAGGCTGGTATAATTTGTAGCAGGTGGGTACTTATACCATGGCCTTTGATGCTGCTTGGGAATCTATAGAGTTTCGCTAGGCCAGAGAACATAGGGTTATAATCTATGCCTTCATGAAAATCCCATACAACCCCCACCTCCCATACAACCCCCACCCCCCAAGAAACTGTACAGTTTTATTTCTGTAAATAGAAATAAAGCACCTTATATCTAAGAAACCCTCAGATAATCAGCTGTAACAGAGCAGTTTCACAGTTTTCATCTTACATTGCCAAGCATAAACCAAGCTCATTGTTCAACTACAGCTTCTCAACTCCAAGAATAAAACAAGCGGAAACGAGACAAGTCACATAAGAGAAGCCTTCAAAACATGCATTCAGAACCTCAGCGATATTTGCAGAGCAGACACATATACTGCAAAAGGAACAGACTAGACCTCGACGTGGTCAGAAGCAACAAGAGAGAATTGTTGCTGAGGCTAACAGGATGACATAGAGCTATACATGATGTGCAGTTCATTCAGTAAAGCAGCACTAACGTGTTATGTTTTAGTTACATTTTCATTTTTCCATTTTTAAATGTTAAATATTTAACAGAATTCAAACAGGTGAATTAAGATTAGTTAAGGATTCACTTAGATTCAGTAGTATCTCTATATGAAAGGAAAAAAAAACAGTGGTAACATTGTTACCATTACATTATTTTTTACTTGAGGGAGGGACAAGTAACTTAGTAGATCATCATCAACAGCATCAAATACACAAACCATTATGATTGATTAATAATGAACAAACATGAGATCGGATGTAGCTAACGGTTTCCGATTAAATAATACATTAACTAGAGGGTACTATTACATTATCTGTGCCCATTCAAGTGAAGTGCCAACAAAACAATATATTCTTATAATGTAAACAACTCTTTACTCATTCTCATATCCATTTCACAATCAGACACTACGATAATTACCCTATAAAAGTAAACCCTGCGAATGGAAACATGGTTTAAAGCAGTTCAGACTCACTGAAGTAACTGCAAAATTTTTTTTAGCCATGACATGGATAACAAATATGCAAGTAGCGGTTAAACAATGCAGGAAAATGACCTCCATTCACTTACCACATAAAATAAATAGTATTTGCGTACTAATCCGGAGTTCAGATACAGCTTCCGGAATACATTCTAGCAGTACTACCAAGCATCATATCAGTTTATTTGAAAGCTAGAAAAAAATAGCATAAATTATGTGTATATTCTGACCCTAGCTAAAACAGTTTAAAGTGTTTCTTGGAAGCTTGCAACTACTGAAATGTATATATACGACAACACTTAAAGATTATAAATCCTGGAAAGTTTGGACGCCATCTTGGCTGAATCTACCTACCATTATTCAATCCTATACACAAGGGCAAAAGTTAAAGGATAACGTGCTTAATATTTTTTCACATACATTTCTTTTCCCCACAGAAGTGGGAAGTACATTGTAACTTTAGTACTTAGACATATGAAACCATATAACCAAAAACCAAAATCACATTAAGAAATGCAATGACATTACAGGAAAATTATTGTCAACCAAAACGTTTCCCTCCGCAATATAGTACACCAACTATGACCATACAGAAAGAAAAAGATTTTGAGCAGAAGGGCTGGGGGAGAGGAAAAGAATTCTCCCACCCGCTAACTTGTCTAAAATCATGCTCCTACTTCATGTGAACATGGATGTTATACAAGATATGAAGCATTAACAAGGAAAAACTAGACAGTTACTGAGAGAAACTGATTTATTAGTACCGATCGTGTTAACAATGAATCCTTAGTGTTCTGCAAACCAAGAACACAACAATCGGACAGACAACTGTTGCACGTCTTACACGACTGGCACACAGGGAGATCCCCATTCACACGCTCCCATGCCGGGGCTGTAATTTCCCACGCTTTTGGATCGGCTACACTCTTAATGGGCAGCGTCCTGCCCCCCAAAAAAACCCATGTGAAGGAATGCAGCGCAATCACTCATATCTCACAACCCCGTCTTCGCACACCGCCCCTCCCCCCGGTCATCAGGTCTTAAAGGCTTTCCCTGGGGAAAAATGTTTCAAAGCGGCTGTTACCATTTAATCAACAGTGATTTCAACGTGTTTCTCAAATGCATATATTTTGTTGAAGATAAAACCTAGGACACAGGTAGGCCAGATTCCCAACTCCAACACACCACAGACTACTTTCCGCCATTTGCATTCACAAACTTTTGGTCGCATTAGCTTGGCCAGGTTAACCCAACAATTCACGATCGGATGGCATGAAAATAAAAACCCGTGTGATTAAGTCGGATGGTCACATTAAGACCACTACGAAAATGAAAGGTTTACAAGAAACCGTCAAGATTGCAAGCTAGTTCTCGTGACTAACTACAATGCATCTACAGTAACGTGTAGCGATAGCTGGGAAAAGCCTACTTGCGACTAACCAGGTGTTAAAGTTACAGATCATGAGATTAAAACCCTAATTTACAATTTTTCTTTCGGAAAATAAACTTGCCACTTCACTTTCTCGAATAACATTTAAAGACCGGCTAATTATTACTTTGGTTAACTTTTCCTAACTTTCTATCTAGCTTGATAACTCAGAGGTGCGGTACAAAGAGCGGCGGCTCTTACCCAGATGTAGGGTGAGGTTGACTGAGTTTGGGAACTGGATGCCTGCCAGCATGGTTTGGCTTTGCCACCAGGTGGTATCCGCATGGTTGTTGTAATCGGTGAGGAAAACCGCGCTGTGGTGGTGCCGGGGATCCCTGGCATCGCAGATATGGCACGATTTGGTAACTCCGGTAACTCCGGTCTGCACGCAGTACTCTTCTGGGGGAGAGCCACAAGTGTTGGTTGCCACTACCGTAACGTTGAAGGCTGCGTTGACAAACTCGGGCATACAGCGTTGAAACTGCCCTGAGTCATCCACGCACTCATCCATGGCACCATGGCTGTGTACAGCCAAATAAATGAACACAGTCAAAACGTGCAGCAAGCGTCCCATTTTTAAGTTTGAATGCAAAGTCAGACTAATGACTTATGCCAACTAAAACTTTGTTCAGAATTAACCGTTTCCTAAAAAGTCATCGGAGAAGCGTGATCAATAATCGCGCTTTCACTCTTTCCCAGATCTTTTCTTTCTTTTAATCCCCCCGGTTCACTCGGCACTACACGTCCACGGCCATGAAAGTCCTCAGCTTCTTGCAGGAGTCAGTACGACTACACCCTTGATAGCGCTGACATGCGCAGTGCGTATGCGCGAGGGAGCAGCGCCCACTTCCGGGAGCGAACAGCGGCGGCCTGACGGTGTCCTTGTTGGAATAGAAACGGCGGACATCCGAGACGAGAAAGTGAAAAGCTAAAATTAAAAGTAACAAGTGTACTATGTCAGGTTGTCTTATTAACGCAAATGTTAATCCTCTTCAATTTTGCTTAAGTGATAATTGCGCAGCCTGATAGACTGTCTGTGTTTCTGTATTTTTATTTTTTATATGTTTCAGATAAGGAATCGATTCAAACATTTAGCAACAAATACATACTTCCAGGCAAAAACGTAAACGATAACATTTTTAACGACTTATGTGCATTTACTCGATGTTGAGAATTATAACTTTGCTGATCAGTTGAATGTAGTGATTTAGTAGTTAAGGAGTTGCTCGTTAAGTTGAACCAGAGAAAATCCAGTGTGGTTAATCATTTAATGTTTTAATGCGCATAATTTGTACTTGGAAATTCATTTGTCGCTGTCAGTTTATAAATTTCAAGTGAATCTTAAAAGAAAATTAAATCTGGCGTATGTTTATATGATATATACAGTTCACAAATTGTACAAAAATAAGTGAGATTTTCAGCCTAGTATTGAATTTATTGTCGATGTTAGGTTTTAATAAATAGGTTTGAAGTAATGTATCTCATATGTGAGCCAATTCAACCCTTACAGTATGTGGTGTATTTTGCAACACATTCAGTCAAAACATCCTCTTGGGGCGGTACTGAAACCAAATATCCATCCATAGCCGTTGCTGTGAACCTGGAAGCTATCCCAGCAAGAAAAAGACACACCCTGGAAGAAAGGTGTTAGTCTATCGAAGGACACACAGCTACATACAAGACAATATAAAGTCTTATTTAAAGCAATCTTTTGCGTGTGATTTTAATCAGTTATTAAAAATCACGGAGTGAAAATCAGTGATATATAACGTTAGTGCTATGACAGGTGACTGCAGAGTCGTTCATCAGAACCTATTTGTGTTTATATGGTAGCTATTCTAAATTAGTTCAATATTCAACATTTTCTTGCTGCATGCGTCTTTTATTTTTATTACTGTAACACTAGCCAAAGTCAATAACTACTTTCAGGTGTAGGGTTTTGGTAAGCATGTAGCCAGTTCCAGGAAGCATGTAGGGTATAAGGCAGGGACACCCTGGATGCTTAGCTACTTCTTTGCAGTAACACACTCATACAGTCACACGCTAGTTCACCAAACCACTACCGAAGTTAACCTGGATAACCACAGGAAACCCATTCTGACATCAGGAGGATATGGAGGCTTCACACGCAGAGTCAGCGATAGGAAACAAACCTACTGAGTGGAGATGTGAAGCCCCTGTCACTACTAAAATAAAGTGCTACCCTTTATCTTAACTCAATCTGCATTTGTTTCGGAAATGTTTCTTCCATTATCCAAATCTTTATACATTGCAAGATATGTGTGATATTCAAATCAAGCTCAGGGTTGCACTTTACTTGTGGGGACATAAATAACACTCTTGCTTAATGTATTAACTAGAAACTAAGTGTCAGTCCATGTTCATTCATCATTAATCAATCACAACACTTGATGTATTCCATGCAGTTACTATGTTTGTTCATGATTTCATCTTGAGTAGTAACTCAGTTACTAAGTTACTTGTGCCCCTCAAGCAAAGTGTTACCCAAACTGAGAGGCCTTTATATAAGTGCTATATATCAATAAATCTACAACTGCAAAGCTGGCTATGTTGTGCATTTTAACATCATCATGAGGATTACAAGTGTCTGATGTCCACATTAGCCGCAGTGTTGGCCTTCATGTTCAGATAAAATCTGTCACCTATAATTTTTACATTTCCATCTAACCATCTTCCCACCACTTAACCACTGTAGGGTCATGAGGTTTAAGAGTATTAGCTTAACTAAACAGATGTTTCTATGGTGTTTTTTAAGGCTTCAGTAAAATGTTGTTGTTTGTCGTACCAGCTTCAAGCATATGAATGTGGTTTGATGTTCTTTTTTGATTCTTCATTTATTTATTGACTTTATATTTACTTAACATTGGACATTCACCAATGTATTTGACTGGATTACTCCATCCAATACAAGTGCAGAGGAAAAAGTGTTGATCAGCCTGTAGATGGCAGTATTCAATTTGCTGACAAAATAAAAAAAATACCTGTGGGTTGCACATCTGTCAAGTCAATGCAGACAACATGATTATAAATGCAATATCCACAAGCACAAGTGCCTTATCCTATAGTGTTCAAGGCTGAGTAAAAAATAAGTAATAGCATTTTTTATTGTATTAACACTGCTAAATCAACTGGCACAGCATATGTCTAAGGTGTGTGGTTTGCTAATTATTGTTATAACTTTTGAGTTGGCTTAATTCTAGACATATTGTACTGTTTCAGACATAATTGAGACATCAGTTCTTGTAACTACACATTTTTGAACTGCATGACAAAACTCAGAAATATACAGAAGAAATCCACAAAGAAATGGAGATAATGTCTACACACAGAATTAAGGGTCAGATTCAAAAGATATAAAAGCCCCTGTATAGATTACTCACCTCCAATGATGGCTTATAGCACGTTTTAGAAATATGTATTTCATTTTGCCAGTCCAACATGCTCTGTGTTTTCAATAGTAATTTAAATCAATCAAAAAATAAAAAGATAAGTTCTTTTTCAGTCCCTGTAAGTTGAAGTAAGTTGTGGATGATAGCAGAATATAACGATTATTTGACTAATATATCATCAGGTGTAAATATGTCTTCTTTTATTTTAATATTCATATGTGATATACGTTCTATTACATCAATCACATACTTATTAAAAGTTTTTTTGTGGTATATTTTCTTATTGTGCAATATGCATTATTATTAATACTTGTAGATTGCAAATACTTTACAACAATTAAAGAGAATTTAGCTAAATTAACTGATTAACAGAAATGTTGCCATATTTGTGTCACTGTAGAGATAGTACAATAAGTGAATTCACACTACTGGTGACCCCTAAATTAGCAATATAAATAATGTAAACTACAGCAAAGGTATTCAAGTCAAGCCTAGTGGGCTTTATTGTCATACCATCCATAAACAGGTTTACAGTGGCACAAAATAATACTACCCCAGGACCACATTGCGATTTACAGAGAGCAAGTAACAAAATGAGTAACAAAGACACATGGTGCCTGATTGTATGTAGACAGTGTTAATTAATAATGGTGTATCAGCATAAACAGAATAAACTGTATCAATAGAATGACAATAGTTTTGAAGGTATTCTGATTCTGATTGCTTGTGTAGTAGACCTTGTATGACAATAAGTACATTAAAAAAATTCTTCATATTAGGCCAAGAAAATAAAGATCATGCAAATATGTATACACATTTGTATGAGAGCATTTTTTTCTCTTACTGTGAGCAGACATTGTCATTATTTCCAAGTAGATGTTGTTGCTCTGTGATTCTGAGAAACAAAGCACTGGGTCTTTGTTTTATAATCTGTTTCCGACTAGTTCTCCTCAGGTCACAGCCACTAACTTCATCGGTATTTGGCCCAGGGCAGGTTAAATGCGCTATTCCTTGTTGGGAAGGCCAGGGTGCAACTCAATGATTGGAACGAATTCCTTCCTGTGCAAAAGCCTAGTTTTTTTTGTAGCTCTTTTTTCAAGTTTTGTACTCAACTCCAGTGCCCTGAGTTTTGCTGCTAGACATCAAAGGATTATGGGAGGTGCGCTAACTCAAGAAGGTGGGGACATAAGCCTAAATACCCCTTCCGACCCCCTACGCCCCTGATTGTCTCCTTACGTGGTTTGCTCTGGGCTGTTTTTACAGTCACAGTCAGTTATCAGGAGAGTTCTTCTGTATGCTTTCTATTCAGGGACATTTGGGGATTGACTGCCTAACTCAGAGTTGCTGGTACTACAGGACCATCATTTTTCAGAAAGCTGCAAACTTGGAGATATACCCAAGCCAAGCAGAAACTCTCTACAGATGCTCCTTTGCTTCAAAAAGTCTTGAATCTTTTCTCTCTGAAGTTCAAAACTGTTGTCTGTTTTAAGGACACAGCGCGTTTTGACTGATAAACTGTTTTTTGGTTGTGCCTTTATTCAGATTTGCATTCTGAAGGTCACCTGCTGCACATCTGCTTTTGCATTCCAACGTCTTGACCTTTATCTCTGCACCTTTACAATGTATTAAGCCCATTGCTGCACAGAGGAATCATACTCTATAATTATTTAGACAACTCAAGGAACCAAAGTATAAAATCACATATTTTGATATATAAATTGAAGAAAATGCCTAAACTTACATGCTTTATTAGGTGTCTTGCAAGTTCTAGCAAAACTATTTCTGCCTGCAGTTTGTAGTGATATACGCTCTTCCCCAGCAGCTGGCTTGTGAGGCAGCAGATCGTTATAGTCCTATTGCCTAATTGTTCCATGCGGCATTTTAGTTCGGACAGGGCTGCAGTCTTGTGGGAGCTGTTAGTGATAACAGATGGTACTCTTGCTGGCTGACTTACCTTTCTGACACGCACAGTCAGTCTATGATTTCAGATAGACAATTTGATAGACCATGTCATTGCCTCCAGGCTCAGTGTCCATCGCTCTTCCCTAAAGGCTGTTCTGCTTGACATCAACTTTCAGGCCAGCAGTTTCAGTTGGGCTTTTTAACTCTGTTGCTCTGCAGTTTGTGTTGTTGCAGAAGAACTCAAACAGAAGGAGCATCATGT